CCACCCCTCCCTCTCAAATATAATATATAACACATCTATCATATAATTCAACGTTGTTTAGAATTAAGGATGGCACTTGACAGTAATTCAACTGATAAACTAGCAGTCCTCCTTTAATGTCTCTAGTTGATTAGGGTTGGAAATGCCATTAATGATCAGGACATCCAAGCCAAGGCCTTCTCAATTATTTTAAGACCCTGAGTGTTGATCAGGCCAGGATGTAAACTTGGACTTCCCTCACGACAGACAGGGAAGCACTGGTGGTGTGCCCTGCTAATGCGCCGCCTCTCACCAATGCGGCCCGAGTTCGAGTCCTGCCGATCTCGGTGTCGTATTGAGTAGAGTTGTTTGTTGGTTCTCTCCTGTGCTTCAAGGGTTTTTCTCCGGGTTCTCCGGTTTTCCTCCCTCCTCAAAAATCAACTTCTAAATCCTAATTCGATCTTTGGGCTTTCACCTAGTTTGGAGCCTAGCTCTAGCTGTTGTGATTGTCCCACGATGTGATACAACAGCGAAAAGCTTTGTAGATTTTTTGTAGACTGATGTTCTTACAAATTATAAGGCAGTTAGAAAAATAACAGGTTCTAACATGGAGAATATAAAATGCTTAAACTGTGCTGCTATTATGACTTTATTTCTAGGAAAAGACTTGATGTTGCAAATTATTCAAGAAAGCTAGCCGATGGTGTTTTGAGTAAAGAAGATCTAGAGGATGATAATGGAAATGAGGTAATTTGCTTTCGAGGGTTGAGGGTTACAGCGTAACTACTATAACTGGGGCCACTTAGACAGCAAGAACCAATCAAATTGTAGAATAAAAACAATACATTCCAACTTTGAGTCTAGTGGAGCCAATCAGAAAGCAGAAGAAAACAATAGCCTTTCGACATGTTTTTATATACCCACGTTTTCTGTTATTAATAGGAAATGGAATCCATGGATTATAAAGAAAAAAGAAAAAGATTCAATCCCTATGCACACCAGGTAGGATTAAATGTGTCATTCATTTTGTTCTATAAATGTATGAGATACAATAACTTATCCCTAGTGTCTCTCCCCCTGGGGGAGGGGGTAAATGGCACATATAATATTGGCTCACTAGAAGAGGATTAAGCTAACTATACGTGCCTATAGAGCTTGTGCATCCCAGGTTGAACATCTTGCTAAGATCTTGTTAAGATCTTATAAGAATCTTGCAAGATCTTATAAGAATCTTGCAAGATCTTAAATAGGATCTTACAAGATCTTGTCCAAGATCATGCCAAGATAATGAATAAACTTGCCAAGTTCATGCATAAACTTGCCAAGATCATGTAAGATCAGGCCTGATCTTACATGATCTTGTCCAAGATCATGCAAGATCAGGCCTGATCTTACATGATCTTGGCAAGTTTATGCATGAACTTGGCAAGTTTATTYATTATCTTGGCATGATCTTTCATGCTTTTGATAAGATCTTACATGATCTTGGCAATATCTTACATGATCTTTCATAGTCCTAGTAAGATCTGTCATGATCATGGCAAGATCTTACAGGAAGTTGGACAAGATCTTTCATTGTTATGGCAAGATCTTATTTAATCATGGCAAGATCTTATAAGATCTTGGACAAKATCTTTTATGGCCATGGCAAGATCTTACAGGATCTTGAACAAAGTCTTTTTTCATAGCCATGCCTAGATGTTACAGGCTCTTTTCAGGATATACAGGATATTTTAAAGATCTTTCAGGGTCTTCTGCAGGAGGTTATAACAAGTTCTAATGGCTTGCAAACATGATTTCTGATTTCAGATAATGATGAAACTTGTAAGGCTTTATTATAATTATGTAAACTTTATTGAAAACAAATGTATCAAATCCTGATAAAGTACATGAAAATTTAAAAGCTATCTTAGATTAAACTTAAATTTCATGCAAATCTCTACTGACAATATTCTATGTTCAACAATATTTCATACACATTGCTTAAATGTTTTAAACACAGGAAGAAGAAATGTT